CAGTAGGCGAAGAGGAAGGGGCGGGGACCGGCGGTGGTACGCATGCGCCCACTTCCTCCGCCGGGGAGTGGCCGCTCTAGGCAGCGGGGAGGTCGAGGGGTTAAGGGGATTGGGAAACGACTGCGGCCTCTCCTCTATGGTCGCGGGCTGGGGGCACTCTCCTCCACAGTCTGTCCGAAGTTACTTCCGGAAGTGAAGCCTCTACCTCTTCCTCTGTTTCCCCGGGGGTCCGGGCGGGGGGCGATGGCCGGGTTGGCCCCGGGACGAGTGAAATGGTAAGCCACAGCACGGCGGGGGATGGTGAGGGAGCGGCCCAGGCATGATTTCGGGGCGTAGTGTGGAAGACGGAACCGGAATCCCCTTGGCCGATCCCTTTGGCGGGGTTGGAGGAGGCGCGCGGGCCTTTCCCTCGCCCAGGCCGGGGTCCTGATCCGCATCAGTCCTGGCCGCGGGGTGCGGACCCCAGCTTGGCCAACTTACCCATCCCTTCGCGAGAGCCCCACGTCGGCGGGGCCGGTCGCTGGGCCTCGCCTGCGTCCTCTTGAGGGTGTCGGGGTCAGAGCCCTTCGCTCCAGGGGCTTCCTAGGGCGGGATGGAGGGGGCGTCGCTTCCATACACTTTGGAGAGGGACAACGGGGTGCCTGCGCGCCAGGAGCGCCTGCCACAGCCTGAGCAGTAGCTCAGCCAGAATTGATCGGGTTCCTGATAGCCGCCAGGCTGAGCTTGCCGTCTAATTAGCGAGGCACCTTCCTGCCCCAAGGCGGAGTGATTGTTCTGCGCTTTTAAAATAGGGTAACGGAAGCGCAGAAAGGAGAAAGTGAAACCCCAAAGTCACACTTGGGCTGGACTCTTCTGATTCCGAGCCTCACTCAGAAATCCGAACTTGTGCAAAAAGGAGTTTTCTTTTATTAAAAGAGGGGGAGGCAAATGGGAGTCACGTTATGTCTATCTGAGGGTATCTGGCGGGGCTGGAGGCAACCCCCCAACTTTGGTGAAGTGATAGCCTAGAGGCTGTCATGCTCTCAACTGTCGCCATTCTGTCCTCCCGCTGAAGCCCATTGGTTGGTCCTTTGGGGATGGTCTTGATGTCACGCTCCGAAAGGCCAATAGGAAAAGAGCTTTGCTCTCTACCCAGGGCACACCCCAGAGGCAGCGCAGACTGCACGTGCTGATAGGGTTGTTTTGTTTGCTCCTGTCACTGACGCTTTGTAAACGGCCAGCCTGGGTGTATCCCAACCAATGTGCTTTGCATTTCCCTGTGTATCTCCATAAACTTGATGCAAAAACTGTACTTCTCCAAGACAGTTCTGTCTTTTTTTTTAATATCCCCATTTTACAGGTGAGCGCCAACAGCATTTGGCACTGGCACTAATTACACAGCCACCACTCAGTAAATGCCACCGTTAATAATTCTAATAATACCAGTCGACCATACAACAAACTCTTTTTGAGTATCTATGCATAGAGTTTGTCATTTAAACCTCCCAACAGCCCTTCGAAGTTGATATTATCCTAGACTGATAAATGGGAAATACGAGGCTATGAGACTCAGGGAGAATAAATGGTGACCAGGTTTGGAATCCAGATCAGTCTCACTCTTTTTTTCTTTTTTTTCTCTCTTCCTTGCGTAGGCCTAGGAATCAGTCTCACTCTTAAAACTATACTGTTCCAACTCTACTATCCTCTGCAGAGAAATTATAGTGCAGGAGATGAGAAAATTTACACAGATAAAAGTTACAGTAATGCACAGAGGCAGGAAAGATTAATTTGGGTGGGAGGGGGTTAGACTTTCAAGTGAAAATTGATTTGGATCTTGTCAGTTGGATACTTTTGACCCAGAAATGTTTTGAAGCTGCGTTACAGATGGAGAGAACAACGTGAGGATGTGGAAATATGCCCAAGCAGCAGGAATTAGTAGATGAGACTACCGTGTAGTCACATGTGTGTGCAGAGGAATAGTAGGGAACAATCACAATAATACTAATAGCTAACATTTACATGGCACTTACTGTGTGCCAGGCACTCAGTCATCTTTGTGAATGCTGAACATATATTAAATTCATCTAATCCTTTCAACAACCCTATCAGGCGGGTACTATTAATATCCCCATTTTACAGGTGAAGCAACAGAGGCAGAGAAAGGTTAAGTGACCCTCTCTGGAGGTCATGCTGCTAATAATTGGTGGAGCTGGGATTTTAACTCATTCATTCTGGCTCCAGATTTTGTGCCCAAATTAAAAGTTATGTTGATTGCTAAGGGCCGGCTTTCAACGGTGGGCTTTATTTTCTTGTAGTAGGTAACTTTTGAGCAAAGGCAGGGCTTGATGAGAATTTTATTCTAGGAGGATGTTTCAGGCAATGGAAAGAGGAGGGATTGGCAAGAAGAGAATTGAAAGTGTCATTTAAACTTTTTTTATTCACACATATTCATACCTTTTCTGAGATATGTATTTAAGTATGTCAGTGTTTATTTGTATGTAACAGCTCTCTCTCTCTGGTTCCCAAACTTCTGTGTACAGAAGAATCTCCTGAAGGCCTTGTTTAAAATGTACATTCCTGAGCCTCTCTCCCGGACATCCTGGTTGAAGTTTACCAGGTGATTTTGGTGGAGGAATCAAATATTTGTTGATTTGGTTTTCATCTACAAATACCTAGAGCTCAGCTTTGTGCCGGTCACTCTGAGGTATGGTGATAAAATTTAGTGGCTTGGTTTCTGACCTCAGGGAGCTCAGGATTTGATGGGAGAAGCAAAGACATGACCAAAACAGTAATGTGTAAAAAGTGTGAGAGTGAGCTGAATCTATAAAGGACATGTTAGTTTATAATAGGAGTCATACAAAGTATTTTAAAACCAATGGTTAAGGTATGGGTTACTTAGTAACCTCCAGCAGCTTTTCATAGCTTTCTGAGTCGTTGAACATCTGCAGCGTTTAGTACAGGATAGGTCCTTGAATATAGGCCACATAACTGAAATGAAAGAGGACAGGCTCTGAGAGAGCCAGGATCTCTTTCTCAGCCTGCCCTCATCTTGCCCAACACTTCCACGCGAGACAGTAAACCACGGGGCTGCAAAGTTCAGGCAGCAAGTCAACACCCAAAGGAGCTTGCTACATTTGCCCTACTGATTTCTGACCCTCTCCGGAAAGAAAATCTATTTGGAGTCAGAAAAACACAAGGTTTTACACACTAAACAACTAGAAATGCTACTCATATTAATGGAAGAAGCAGTTTTTGCCACCTGCAGGAAGTACATGTAATATTCTGTCCTTATTGCCATTTCTGACCCTTGCCTTGTTTACATTTGGGCACATTTATTTTTATTTCATAGTCGCCATAAACAGGTGGACACCCTTTGGATATTTAATAATGTCTGTAGTGTTCTGCCAGTGTTCGTCCCCAGGAGTGGATCTGGGGTGCCAGAGCTAGGGGTTTCCTCACCCATCCCTACCCCTGTTTTTCATTTTTTTTTTCTTTTTTTCAACTCCCCCTTCACAGAACCTGCCTGGTTCTATTGTAAAATTTCTGCATAGAGCAGCATACTCACTCTAGCAGCTGCCAGCTGGAGTTCATGTTCCAAAATGCAGTGTTGTCACATTCTAGTTTGTTTTCTCTCGTTTGTTTTTCTCAGCTGTGCAGTAGCAGCTCTATGATGTGGCCTAGATGATAAAAGAGTAAATCAGTCCTTTGAACTAATAACTGTTATCGATTACTTTATTGGGATAATGAAGTGTTATGCCGCCAGGCTTTAAGTCAGACCATGATTTAAAACCTGGCTCTGCCGTTTACTAATTAGGCCTTCATTTTCTCATCTGTGAAATGGAGATGATAGTAATACTTATTCCTGTAGGATTGTTGTGCATTTCACATTACAAAGGCTCAGTAAATATTCGCAGTTGTGATTATTTTTTGTTGTCAGGTATTATGCAATGAGAGGAAATAGCCTAACTAGAGGCCCAAAGAAGCCAAAATCTTTCCATTCTTACATTGAATATCCTTGCTAAGAAATGATTGGAATTGTATTTTTCAGGCTGGAACCCCAACAAATTAGCCCTTAGAAGGATTCCTAAAATATTAGGCAAAATACAGTCAAAATAGATTTATGTTGAATAAGGAGGTATAGAACCATAATCATATACCACTGGGCCAAGCAGTTTATAAATTACAATTTCTTAAGAGTTCATCGTTATATAGTGAGATCTTTATAAGCTAGCTACTTAAACTCAGAATTAATGCATTCATTTTGGATAAACTCAGTAATAATCATTGTATTAATTGAGTTTCCTAAATTTTAGTTGGGTATATGGCTAAAGAAGGAAACAGGTAACAGTAGGGCCATCACCTCCTGGATAGTAGCCCTTTGGATAAAGCCAGGGGTAAGCCCTCACCCAGTCGGACAAACATCTTCCTTCCAAGGGAGGAATGGCCAAGTTCATGCTGGGTTCTTTAGTTACACAGCATTATTGGGAGATTGCGTGTATCCCAGCCCTTTCTGTTCTTTCATGGATTTTCAGATTACTATAGTAGATCAGTTAGGGATGTCTTCTTGGGCAGACATAGAAAAGGTCATGTTGATTAGATATCTTGGAAATGCCCAGATCATCAGAGATTGTGATGTTTCCTATCAGTTGTGCCAACAACAATAGATAACAACCTGACAGCAAATCAAGAGTGAAGAAAGCTGGCAGTGCAGTGGCTCACACCTGTAATCCCAGCACTTTGGGAGGCCAGGCGGAAGGATCACTTGAAGCCAGGAGTTCAAGACCAGCCTGGACGACATAGTAAGACCCCGTCTCTACAAAAAATAGAAAACAAATTAGCCGGGTGTAGTGGTGTGTGCCTGTAGTCCCAGCTACTCCAGAGGCTGAGGCAGGAGGATGGCTTGAGCCCAGGAGTTGGAGATTACAGTGAGCTATGACGATGCCACAGTACTCCAGCTGGGGTGACAGACCAAGACCCTGTCTCACAATAAAAAGAGAGGAAAGCTATAAGCTGACAACTCCAAAAGCTGACTATCCTAAGGCCAATTAGCCTGGAAACAACCATACACCCACCAATAGACTCAGAAGACATCACATCATGGGACAAGGGATGAGAACTCGGGTGAGGCAAGTAACAAAACTGAGAGCAGGTGGGAGAGGACTGGAGCAGACTGCAGGTGAAAAATTAGATCCCAGTGTTGCTAGGTCTGATTTTTTTTTTTTTTTTTAAAGAGAAGCCAGAAATCTAGGATTTTATGTAAAATTAGATTTTTTAAAATGCTGGCACCAAATTCAATTTAAAAAGAAAAGAATAAACACCATGTGAAAGAAAGCCTGCCTGCATGGCAGATGTTGCCTTAGTAGGGCGGTGGCTGCTGGTGGTGACTGGCCCGGGACAAGAAGGACGGGTGCTCACGGTGATAAAGCTGCGTCACCGTGGCAGGGCTCGCCTGGCTTGTACCACTACAGGAGGAAGACGGGTGTATTGTATTAAGAACCTTTTATCCCAGTGGATAAATAGTAGTTCTTAACCTCCTCCAGGTCTTGGTCCCCTCTGAGACCCTGATAAAAACTCTAGACTGCCTTGCAGGGAAATGCATGTACCATGCACACACTCAAGCTTGATGTCGATTTCAGCTCCTGAGGCACTTCTCCGAGTTTTAGTTGAAAACCCAACTTTTGTTCAGCAACAGATCTTCAGAATGACTCAGTACTTGTGGGAACTCCTGAAGTTTTGCCATACTGTTCAACCTATCATTTTAAACTTTTTTTTTTTTCAGGTAGGGCTCTGCTTGCCAGGGTAGAGTACAGTGGCGTCATCATAGCTCACTGCAGCCTCTAACTACTGGGCGCAACCTCAAACTCCTGGGCTCAAGGGATCCTCCTCCCTCACCCTCCTGAGTAGCTGGGACTGTAGGCACGCCACCACACCCAGCTGGTTTTTTTTGCTGAGGGAGGGAGGAGTAGAGACAGGGGTCTCACCATGTTGCCCAGGCTGGTCTCAAACTCCTTGCCTCAAGTGATCCTCCTGCCTCAGCCTCCCAAAGTGCTGAGATGATAGGCATGAGCCACTGGGCCTGACCATGAACTTGTTACTGTTTGCTATTTTGTCGATTTCCCCAAGCTCATGCATTGTTCCCATCAGTTTTGAGCTAGGTAATTAACCCTAGTAATTTCATAAACAGAAGTGTATCCATGTGAACAGAGCACTGGGGGTAAGAACATAAGGATTCTCCTCCCCCCACTCCATCCTGCCCACATCCCCACCTGTTGTCCTCAAGGCCTTTGACACAAGGGGGAAGCAGGTGAAAAGAACAGTAGCTGAGAGTCTTTTAACACATGCTCACTTGGGAGGGAACTCGGAAGGAACCAACCAGGAACCAACCAGCGGCTTCTCAGGGCTCCAGCCTGCTGCAAGAACAGCTGTAAACATGCTCAGGCCTTCTCAAAGAGGCCTTTAATGGTTGCCAGCAGGGGTGGGTATGTTTACCCAAGTCCCAACACCACAGCTTGTAACTTTAGTGTCTGAGCTAGATTTTTATCACTGAAGGGGCACTTTCTTCCTCTAAAAGTACTGCTTTCTTTAATTGGTGGAAGTAACCCAAATAGATACAGAAGTAACAGAAATGATCTACTGAATTTGTTTAAGAATGTGTACTCTTTCTCTGTTAGCTTCCACTTTTTGAATTTAGGGTAAAATGAAACAAGCAAAACTCCGAAGAAGTTATCAAAGTTCCTGCAGTTTCTAATTTGTCAAAGGCAGTTACAAAACAAAGTTAATTAACGGTCACCCCACCTTTGCAAAATACCCTTTAACATTAGTGTGTGATTTGTTTTCTTGCATAAGAAATAAACTTGCAGATCTCATAGGCAAGGAACTGCTGGTGTATTCTAGTTTTTAAAAGGCTAATTTGTGAGAAGTTAATTTCAAAATACATTATTTGTAATTTTCTGCAATGACTCTGAAATCCATACATTTAGCTTCATGCTTATTCCAACTATAGTTTTGTGTCTCCAGCTGCCCACTAGACATTTCTACTTGGAAGTCTTATTACCTCAAACCCCACATTTATAAAATTCAACCAAACCCCACATTTCTAAAATTCACCATTTGTTTACAATGACCCCGTTTCTATCAGGAGTACAGTTTTTCTTGCCTTGTTCTGAAACGTAGCCAACATCTTTGATCATTCTTTCTCTCTAGTCACTAGAGCCCGTAAATTATTTCCTTAGCATCTCTCAGATTTATCCTTTTCTTCACATTTTCATTTTTGCCACCTTAGTCCCAGAAGTAATAATACCTCATTTCTAAGTTGTCCCTAATTGTTCTCCCTGCTTCTAGCCTATCCCTCCTTCCTGTTGAGATTTATATCCACAAGCCCAGCTCTGCCGGTCTCATCACCTCTGAAACGTTTCTGTGCGCCCGTCTCCGATCTGCCTGACTCTCGTCAACCTGGCATGCGAGACCCTGTCTCGGGCCTCATCTCCAGCTGTGTCACCCCTGCTCTCAGTGAAAACATGAGGACATTTCCCCAGCCAGGCCCAGCCCTTGCAGAGCCCTCACCCAGCGCGTTGTATCTTTCCTCTGTCATTGAATCCAGATATGATCAAGAGTTCCGTGCCCAGCTCGTAGGAGATGCTCAATAAGTACTCATAGTGTGATTATTATTTCCTACCATAATGCCCTCACATGGTAGTTGTTTTGTCAGTATTGGTGGAATAAAGGAACTACTTTATCAAAAGGATTCTTTTTTCAAAATCCTACATAAGATCTCCCACTTCCTTAGCAATTTGAAGAGGCTGCCCAAAGGAAAGCACTTAGAAACATTTTAAATGTTTCTAAACATACAAACAATGAGCAAGTATGATTATTGGAAAAAATCTGGAATCTGTTGAGATCATTTATTTAGACTCTTTCTCTTCCAAAAACAAGAGTTATTAATGGGCCCATACAGAAGGTTATTCCCCTCTTTACTATCATCTTTTACTTTGAATATATTTGTTCATTACATTTATTTTCTAAATTTATATTTTATCTTTAATTATCTTTTTAGTGTTGGCTAAGGAACCTCTAGTCCACTTTTAACACCGAGTTTAAATTTTAGTTGTGTTTGGCCAAAAGGAATACAAAATATTTTTTTTTTTTTACGATTCCTGTATTTTTTTATAGTTATTACAAAGTCACACATTTTCATTAAAAACAACTTAGTAAATGCAGAAAACTAAAAACGAAGGCAAAAATTACCCATGATCTTCCCCTTCCAAACATACCTACTGCTAACCCTATCTTTCCTTCTAGTTTCTATTTACTGGTTTACTTATTTAAATTATAGTGTTTTCGTGCTCTGTGTAAAATTTTGTACCCTATAAAATGTGGTAAAAATCTCTTACCGTTGCTTTTAAAAATCAGTAAATTGCTACCATTTATGGTTTATCTTTAAATAAACCATATGCCAGGCTCTGTACTAGGCACTGTACTTGCATTCTCTTACTTAGTTGTTCAAACCTCCAATGGGGAAATACTCTGAATACCCCCATTTGTACATGAGGAAGCCGAGACTCACAGCTGGCCAGTGGCAGAGGTGGGGTAAGAACCCAGGCCACCCAGCACTGGGACCTGTGTTCTTAACCACGTGTGTGCAAAGCATAAAGCATGAGCCCTTCTCTGCGTGGCTGGTGTGTGTGGCGGAGGGCGATTTTCTCTCTTTTCCTTCACAGTAGTGAGACTGGGAAACTCTTACCGTAACACCAGAAATAGTGTGGATAATCATTTCTTTAGCCCCTATTTATACCATTCACCTTCGTAGCCACTTTCCTTCACTGTCTCTAATCCTCACAAGAAGCCTTTAAGGTTTGTGTGCCGTTACAACCATTTCACAGTTGAGAAAACGGGCTCAGAGCTCAAGTAACTTCTGCACAGTCATAGAGCTAGTGAGTTGGGGAGTTGAGGTTCTAACTCCAGGGTCTTCTCTGTCATACTGCCTCTCCATTTAAAAAATCTCCTAAGACCCGGATGAGAATGAGAAGAGAATGGTTCTTCACCGTTTGCATATTAATGACATTAGCATGGTTCTGTGTCACCAAACTGGCCAGATCCATGGGACATGATGTGCACGTTTGGGTTGATTTAGGGGGAAAAGGTATATTGAGTCATGGGGGAGTTGGCCTGGCACGGGGCACCAGAAAACAAGGCTTCACTCACTTCTTGGAATTGCTTCTCTTAGGGCCTCTGAAATCAAATTCCCTAATGGAAATTATTTGTGTGGACCAAATGAGTTATTTACATGAAGTATATCTATTGTTGTGAATCCCAGACATTTTACCAGACCAGGAAGCTGGGTTATTTTAAAATCATACACCTAGAAAGGACTTTAGAAATTTAATTGCAAACACTGAGACCAGAGAAATTTCAAAGGAAATTAGCGAAAGGGAAGGATCCAGAATTCTCTACCCCCAAATCTATTGAAATTTCCACTACACCATTTTGCTTTACTAGCTTTGAAAAGTATAACGAATAGGCAAGAAAGAAATTCAGTGATGATGATTTGGTTTATGGAATATAGATTTTTATAAGCTGAATTTGTCACATTTAAAAATAAGAGCTTTGATAGAATGGCAATATTATTGTATTAACTATTCTTCTCTTCAAACAACTATTTGTCCTATTGCTGTCTTTTTTTCCCCTAGATTAATGATGCTTTGCAGCAGTTTTCTAAGTCTGAAATTTTTTATATCTGTGGATCCCAGAATTTGCTAAGAGATGGAGGAGCCTCAGAAAAATGATCTGAACGTGGTGGGCCTTGAGAACGATGACCCTCTCAAAAGCACCGGGCCTCAGATTTCCGTTAGTGAATTTTCTTGCCACTGCTGCTACGACATCCTCGTTAACCCCACCACCTTGAACTGTGGGCACAGCTTCTGCCGGCACTGCCTGGCTTTATGGTGGGTGTCTTCAAAGAAAACAGAGTGTCCGGAATGCAGAGAAAAATGGGAAGGTTTCCCCAAAGTCAACATTCTCCTCAGGTAATGCTCAACTCACATCGGTAGCACAGCTCGTACAACGTGTTCTCTCTTAGTGGAAGCGGCAGCGTTTGAAAAGGCTGCAGATTTAGAGCTCACTTTCTGGGTAGTCACTCTGCCTCTGCTCGAATATGAATTAGGGACTCAAGGACCTGAAAATCAAAAAAAAGGGGGGGGGGCCTGAAAAATCCAGACTCCCTTCCTCACTGGTGACCACAATGTGTTGTTTTGTTTTTGTTTTTTGTTTTTCTGAGACAAGGTCTCCCTCTTGTCGCCTGGGCTAGAGTATAGTGGCTTGATCATAGCTCACTGTAACTTCAGACTCCTGGGCTCAGGCGATCCTTCTGCCTCAGCCTCCGGAGTAGCTGGGACTACAGGCTCATGCCACCACGCCCGGCTAATTTTTGTATTTTTAGTAGAGACGGTGTCTTGCTCTTGCCCAGGCTAGTCTCA